CTCCCCAGGAATGGTGCTACAAAATTGTTATGTATTTCATAGTTTCCAGCAATTAGCAATTGAATTATTCTTCTTCTGGTCAAGAATTCTTGGTGGTGTCATTAACTTTAGTGAGAAACATAAACACACTGTAGCAACCAAGCACTGATACACCACTACCATGATAATGTTCATCTTGTACTAAGCACTGATACACCACTACCATGATAATGTTCATCTTGTACTAAGCACTGATACACCACTACTATGATAATGTTCATCTTGTACTTCCCATTGACTAAGCAATTTTGCTGCATCCAAAACTAAGACACGGGGTTGCTTTATTCTAGTACATCCTCATGGAAATAAGCTCTCTTTCAAATCTTTAAAGTGGAATATGGATTTCACCTGCCACCATCTGACTTTACCCATCTTCTGGAGGATATATTTCTTATATTCTGCCAAACCTGCTAGTAATTACACTATAACTTCTTACTATGGGCTGTATTTAGTTGCTCTTTTAATTTCTGAAATATGAAAAACTGGTCAGGATCTTTTCTTCCACCATGATAAATGACAATATAATTTTGTTAAGAGACGGCATTGGCAATCTTGCATGTTCTTCATATGTACCCCAAAACTTAAAATGCAATTAAAAAAAAAAAAGACAGCATTGGTTGTTGCATGGTAGACTCCAAGTCTATGAAAATCACTGTACATCTTATCTAACTTAGTTAGAAACTAGAGTGTGGGCCGGGCATGGTGGCTCATGCCTGTAATCCCAGCACTATGGGAGGCCATGGCGGGCAGATCACCTGAGGTCAGGAGTTCGAGACCAGTCTGACCAACATGGAGAAACCCCAACTCTACTAAAAATACAAAATTAGCCAGGCATGGTGGCACATGCTTGTATTCCCAGCTACTCGGGAGGTTGAGGCAGGAGAATTGCTTGAACCTGGGAGGCGGAGGTTGCAGTGAGCCAAGATCGTGTCATTGCACTCCAGCCTGGGCAATAAGGGCAAAACATTGTCTCAAAAAAAAAAGAAAAAAAGAAAAAAAGAAAAAAAAAGAAAAAGAAAGAAACTGGAGTGTGATAAGATGGTACAGCTCTGCAATACAGCACAAGGATTTCATGGGTCATTTCTTTAAAAACCTGTATAATACCTAATGGTGTAAATGAAAATAAGTTTTTGATAATTCATACATTGATCAAATATCCTGGTCTTAGGCATTTATTTAGATGAGTTAGAAAAATCCAAGTTATTTAGGAGATAGCATCCTTGTGTTCAGTGTTTTCTATTTCACTTGCTTTAAGAACGGGAAAAAAAATCCCTCTTATTCTCAGAATGAAGAAGCAGGCTGACTGACAGCAACTTTGATACGCTCCAGGCAAACTACTGAAATACAGAATGGGCTCAGGCTCCCACTTAGTGGTTATGGTTAACAGTTTATCTGAAGTGCCCGAGTGTGAACTTATGACACTTCCTACTTTTCAGCATGGGGGTGTGTGTGTGCCTCTGTCTCTAATAGGATCATCTCACCCTTACCAAAAGGTCCTGTATTAGGGCAGAGGGGTGGGGAGGATGTTTGTGACAGGCTGTCAACACAGTTCTTTGTTGTGAATAAATCCTATCTCCAATTAGAGCAGTATAAACCAGAAAGGAATGTCCTTCCCTACCTTTCAACTGAGAACACAGAACCACAGCAACTAGTGTTCTCACCTTTAAGGAGTTAAGCCTCTGCTTTGAGGGAGAAACTTTTTATGTCACATGGCTCAAAAGTTCATTCAAAATGGGGCTAGACTTTCCTAAATCCTTATCCAAACTATTACAAACTATTGATGTGGCATTAGGTCCTAAAAATACAGACAAATGGGCACTTCAGAGGCTATCTGGCTTGGCTACTCCTGAGCCATCAAGGGAATGAGGAAACTTAAAATTCCTGAACTTGAAAGAACAAGACTGTTCCCATGTACTGTTTACAGGGCCATATACCTTTATTCTAAACAAACTAATAAACTGTCAAAAATCTGCAGGATTAAGCTTTTCAACTCTTCTTCCTACTGTGGTCTGAGGGTTCCAAGTCTTTTTTTAAACCTCACTGCTAGACTTGGAAGATAGATGGGCTACAAAAGACGAACAGCTAACAGGTAGAAAACAGGGGTGGATGTGAGGCGGTCTCCATAAGAACTATGCCCTCATAAAAACCCTTAAAGACCAACTTACAAAACGTTATTCACTCAGCCTGCTATAATACATTCAAACCAGAACCTTTATTAGCTAAATGTACTAAAACCACATAACATTTTTCACATGGAAGTTGGTTTAACAGTCTGATCACTGATACCCACGAGATCCCTTTTGGGGAGATTCCTTTCCACAGACAACTTGGGGCAGAGAAGCTGAAAAGCCTCTGGCAAGGCAAAGGACAAGTTAAGTCAGAGGATACACAGTGACACATGGACTTCTAGACTTGACTATTTAAGTCACCACAGCTTTGATTAAAGATAAACTGGAGGTGGCCCAGCACAATGGCTCATGCCTGTAATCCTAGCACTTCAGGAGGCCGAGGCAGGCAGATCGCTTGAGGTCAGGAGTTCGAGACCAGCCTGGCCAACCAAATGAAACCCCATCTCTACAAATTCCTCATTCTAGGTTCTAACACTTGGTGACAACGTGGTGGTGGGTGACTGTAATGCCTGCTACTTGGGAGGCTGAGGCAGGAGACCCACTTAAATCCAGGAGGTGGAGGTTGCAGTGAGCTGAGATCACACCACTGCACTCCAGCTAGGGCGACAGAGCGAGACTCTGTCTCAAAAAAAACAAAAAAAAGATAAACTGTAGTCATAAAACATTTACATATAGTGGATTCTCCTTATTAAAATGGGTCATAAAAGTCTGAATGATTGCTAAGCGACCTGGAAGGTGTGGGAATATCGTGTGCTTTGGATTTGACTTAGGCGCGACTCTCAGAGCGGCGGCTGGCGTAAGCTCAGCCTGGGTCCCACCGTGCTTGCCACACCGCTAAGGACCGACTCCGGGGAGGTACATAAAAACTAAGTCTTTGTGGATAAAACAGCCATTAAATAAAAGAGGGAAGGTTAAGGAAGGCTTCTCAACTTTAGTTAACTTCAGGTGTGAAGACATGAATAGTAAATGGGCAAGATGACCAAAAATGTGATTTGGCTGAAAGCAGGAACCGCTTCACTTTGGGAATCTTGAGGATCTGGGAGGCACCCCCTGTGAAAATCCACGGTGTGCTTAAGTATATAAACCACCACGCTGAAAATCTGCCATTCTCATCCAAACACCCCTCTGTAATAGCTTTAAAGCTCGGGCATACAGCTCCCAGGTCTACTGGGCATGGGAAGGCCCACATGTGGAGGGAAAGGTCTACTGTGCACACTGGGAATGGCAGAGCCAGCCTGGCCTTCCCCGGGAAATCCGGATCCACAGCGCTCTGCTATCTGTAAGCAAAGAGGTAGGTTCTGAACTTTCCTCAGGCAGAACACCAGACATAAAATGCTGAACAGCCACCAGCTCTATTCTCTCTAATCCTCGCTTTGATGTAAGGTAAGAGGCAGGGGGCAACACCAAATAGAGCGGGCGGTTTATATTTCTCTCACCAGGGCAAATTAATAAAAACAAAACCTAATTTTTCCCTTCTCTTACCCATTCTTACTCCTCTTCAATATTTTTCCTCTTTCTAAGATTCCTTTTTTGTTTGAGAAGCTTAATATTTGGCTGCCTTCTGAAGAAATGGGTATAGTGACAGATGAAAGACTTGTATTCATCGTCTAATTCAGAGTAAGGGGAAAAATCGACTGCTGTGCATTTAAGATTCTAACAACCTTGCAATTTTGTATGGTCGTTTCCCCCACCCGTTCTTTTGAAGAAATCTGCTTTTATTCTGCTAATAACTAACCACAGTTGCAGCAGCATGGATCCGATTAGCAGTTCTTATGATACAAAGGGGAGAAGAAAAAAAGCTGGGAACGGGGTTGCCAATTTGTCCACCTGGGCCCCCAGGAGAAAGATTAGCCGAGGCGCCTGCCGGCTCCCTTTCTTCCACTTGATGGCTGCTCTATGCTGCCGGATAGAGACAGGCCTTTTTCAAGCCAAGGCACTTTCCTTTAATAAAAGTTTCACTCGCCTCCATCCTCTCTTGTCACCAGTTCCTCGTTCTGGGTTGCAACGCTTCGTGACAACTCTGCCTGTAAACATGGGTGGCTGCCTACGAAAGGCGCCACACGCGGATGCTCACTCCCTTGGAGTCGTTTTGCATCTAAAAGAGAATATATCATGTGAACACTTGCTATGCCCTACGGGTATGAGGGACCGTGTTTTCCAGACCAAAAGGTGGTGGCACACGTGGCCAGCCAACGGGCATCTTTACGCTGCTTCTGGATGTGAGAAGGCAGAGGGAAAAAATACAGAGTTTGGGAATTGAATATTGGAATCTGAGGAGAATAACACAGAACCTATAACACTGAGACCAACAGATAAAACACTGGTACTATATATAGGTGGCATGGTTTCTGTAAATTCTCCATTTAGATATAGAATTAAGTGTCCATTTATGTACTAAAATGATGCGCTTTTTTTTAAGAGTTTAAAAATTCACTGCATTTGTGATTACACTAAGTAATGACAGCTTCTTTTCATGATAAAACTTAAAATCCTTGGTATAAAACTACATTAAAAGTAAAGCAGCAGACAGCTAAAAGCACTATTCTGAAAAACTTAAAACAAAAACCAAAAAAACCCCAAGGCTTCTGAGTGAAATCTCCGGGATCTAAGGGGTATACATCAGTACCTCGTAATGTATTTTTAACAGAAATCAGCACCTGCTTAACTTGCTTCGATATGACAATTCACAGCATGACATGTTAATACATTTGGGTGTTTAAATAAGTGCTTTTTCAAGAGATAAAGAGTCGCACAATGAAACCCGGATTAATCAATAACCAAACTCCTTTTTAACAGTGCTGGGCTTGGGAGGTTGCTGGGGGTTGAGGGAGAGCTGACCTCTCCAGCATGAGGCTAAAACTGCGGGGCCCAGGTGGGAGGCAGCGGACACCCTCAGGGACCTGCAGCTCAGGAGTGAACTCTGACAGAAGCAGTGCCAGCCTGGGCATGGCGAAGCTCTGCATGTTGAGTGCCAGGGGACAGGAGGGCTGTGCAGGCCACGGAACCTCTGACTGCAGCAATGTGGAGAGGAAGGTTCTTGAGCACGACCTCAAGAATTCATCACTCCTTTCAGACTGGACTCAATATTTGGCAAGCACACTTGTGAAAGGTATCTGTCACAATGGAGTCGCTTTCAGGACGGAGGAAAAAAGAATGATCCCATAGAGGGTGAAATGCAAAGGCAGAAAGACGGCTCCAAGCCCACAGGAGAAAGGATATGTAAGTCACCAATTTCCGAACTCTTTTCTCTTGGATTCCCATTTTTCTAAGAGAACTGTGAGCTTTTTAATTTGGCCCACGTGTACTGAACAGCGCTACTTGCCAGGCAATGTTCTTAGCACTGGGGACAAAAAGAAGAAAGAGACTCTCAGCCCGCCAGGGGCTCAGGCAGCTGGGGCAGCCCGAGGGAGAGCTGAACTCCAGGCCTGCAGGGGTCAGCAAGGACTTCCTGAAGGGAAAGGCTGTTTAGTGGGGTCTTGATGCATAAGTAGGAGTTTGCTGGGCTGCATAAAGGGTGGGATGGACATTCCAGGCAGAAAGGATAGATATCATTATTCTTTCATGCAGCTCTAGGGGCAAAGATCTGATACAAAATCACGGTTAGTGGTATAGAAACAGGGAATTCTGAACTAGTTCTTCCAGCTGCTTCTAAGAAAAAGCAACGAGGCCACATTAAAAACAAGCAGCAAAAATATATATACACTGGGGTTTGGCTCTCTTAAAATATGATGCTTTTTTGCCTTTTTTCAAGTAGAATTTAAATGACATGATCCCTGGACTTCACGTGAAATGAACTTAAAGTAACAATTGTGAAATAAGGGAGTCTACTGGTAGCTGAATTGGACTTTAGAATAACAGTAATTTTGTACAATACTTTTTTCTGTGATGTTACTTTCAACTGAACCAAATCTAGCTCTAGAAAGGTCAGGAAAAAAAAAAACAAAAAACAAAAAACAAAACACCAGGCACTAGGCCGCTCTTAAAAAATGAGCTAAACTTTATCCCTAAACTTTTCTGTGAGAAATAGATGTGCTCATAACTGGGAATCAAGCCTCCTTCTGGAACACTGGGCAAGTGCGAAGCTGCCTTGGACACAGGTGCTCTCTTCCATATTCTAGAAAACATTTCTTCTTCCATTTCTTTTTTTACAGTCTCTACATTTTGGGGTACCCCGAGGTTGCCTCAGAATTCTTCTCGCAGTGATTCTCAGCCATGGCAGCACATAATCACCACCTGGAGAGCTTTAAAAAAGTACTGATGGAATACGCTGCGTCAGACCAATGAGGTCAGCATCTCGGGCTGGGCCGGCATCAGGCTTTCCCAGGTGTGCTGTGTGGCATGTGCTGCTGTCCGCTGACCTTCACTCATTCTCTAGGTCAGGACTTCCCAGGCCAGTAGCTTCAGCAGAGCTGAAATGCTCTGGAAATGCAAGTTTCCGGGCTCCACCCCACGACTACTGAATCACAAGCCCTCCAGGTGATGCTGAGGCAGGCTGGGTGCCCAGGGGACCTCATCCTGAACCCTAAAGCCTCACAAACTTATTTTTCCAACCAAAATCCTGCCTGAGTCCTTGTCAAAACCTCCCTTAGGATGCCCAGTGGGAATCTCGAATACAGTGTGTTTAAACCAAACTCTTGATTCCCCATCAAAAACGTGCTCCTCTGTCTTCTATACAGAACCACCATTTTACTAATTCCTTCAGCCAAACACCTTCTGCTGCTACCCCTGTCATGTGTGCATCCAAGTGGCAATCAACCCTCCCCTCGGCTACTGCAGGAGCCTCCGGTGTCCCCACTTCCCCCTTCCCCTGAAGCATACTGTCCACTTAGCAGCCACTGTGAGCCTCCTAAACCCTCAACAGGATCATGCTATTCCCTGCCTTCCCAGCCTTCCAGAAGGTTCACATCACACTTAAACTCCTAAATCACAATCATAACCTACAAAGCCGTTAGCTCCTCTCTAATCTAAGTGCCCACCCTTTCTGCTCCTTCGCCCGTGACCACCATGCTTCAGCTACACTGACTTCCTGGTGTTTGCCGCCCGGCACACTAGCACAAGACTAACTCAGGGCCTTTGGGTTTGCTCCTCTCCCTGTCTGGATATTCTTTCTCAGATGCTCACATGGCTTGCCGCTGCTTTTCCCTCACTTCTCTTGTTCAAGTATCAACTTCTAAGAGAGACATCTTCCCTAACTAGCCACTGCTATCTAAAGAAGTCACTCGATTTTCTCCCGACTAACTGACAATAAAGTATGTAGTCCTTTTTTACGTATTTCCTGTCTTTCCCACTAGAATTTAAGTTTCATGAGGACAGGACCTTTTACAGTTTATGTTCAGTGCATTTACACTTCCTATGCCTGCAGCATAGCATACACTCAGTGCTTCGCTGAATTCATGACAGAAGAGGATGATAAAATAATAAAGGAAGGAAAATGAACAATTGAGCTAGTTGGTGTCCACAGGGTGCATCCAGCAGCCAAAATGCAACACGCCACCTTTCTAAACCATCAAATGAAGTAATATATTTGGCATCCTCAGCAAGGTCACGCTCTTGGCATTCAGTTTTATGCATTTAATGCAGTTTGCAAGTACAAACTCCTATGTCACTTTCTATTTGGAAGGGAGAATATCAACATTAACAATTCCTGGTTATATCATTTATAAACATGCAGATGTGGATTATGAAAGATTAATGCATTTTAGGATTGGTGAAGGCATTCCGTTTGTCTCATGCCGAAACCAATTTTGTTCTTCATTAGTCAGTGACAACCCATATCACCCTGTTATGGAACAGAAATCAAAGGTGCAAGCGTGTGAATTGAGAATAAGTGAAGAAACTGATTAGTAAGAGTCTTAACGGCTATAATCAATCAACACATCATAATAATGCTGGCTCCAGGGTTATCAGGAGATTGGGAAAGAAGCCTAACACTGTCTATAAAATGGATTTGTTCCTTCCACAATGGGTACTTATTCTCTTCTAGGAAACACGGTGATATACCAGAAGTTTGTGAAATCAACTTTAGGGGCATCTTGACTCCAAGTACTATGCATTTTACCACCATTTTCCAAAATGTACTCAAGTGATTTTTGAAACTTTTTACCTCTAGGCTAAAATTAGTTCATAAAAGCTTTCGTACCCCTCCACTCTGCATCCTCCTCCTCAGTGAAGGCAGAAGGCAGCAGGTCAATGCCAACAGCATTTCCGCAGAGGCAGCACACGCAGAGTCCAGATGCAGTGACACTCAGCTGAGCACAGGTTCAGAGCAGGGACAGCCTACTCGGCTCAGGAGTGAGAACAAACAGAGAACAAGGTGTCTGAAGTGCTTCTCCAGCGAACAATGCAAAACAGTAGTGGAGAAGTGGGAGTGGACCGTCAGACCAACCATGAAAACACATGAGTCATGGCTGAGATTGCCGAGCAAGAGAAAGGCATGTAATATTGCCATGGTGACACAGGCTTTCTTGTATTTTCATACACAGAAGAATACAGAAAAGGAATGGATATTAATCAGAGAATTTATACTGAATTACCCAACTTTTTTTTAATTAAGAGAGGGAGCAAAACTAAGTAAGAATGTGTATTTGGAGAAATTTCTAGTTTTTTTTTTTTGAGACAGGGTCTCGCTTTGGCGCCAGGCGCCAGGCTGGAGTGCAGTGGCGCGATCTCGGCTCACCGCAATCTCCGCCTCCCCGGTTCAAGCAATTCTGCCTCAGCCTCCCGGGTAGCTGGGACTACAGGCACACGTTAACACGCCCAGCTAATTTTTCTGTTTTTTTAGTAGAGATGGGGTTCCACCAAATTGGCCAGGATGGTCTTGATCTGTTGACCTTGTGATCCGCCCGTCGCGGCCTCCCAAAGTGCTGGGATTACAGGCGTGAGCCACCATGCCTGGCCAGTATTTTTTTATTTCTGAACATGGGAGAAAGAAGGGGGAAAGGCTTAATCAATTTGTAGTTCGTTGGAATGAAAGATTGAAAAGATTTTTGCTGCTGAAGAAAAGGATACTCATTCCCCATCTATCAGAATACATGATTTGGAAACATGGTGATATACCAGAAGTCTGTGAAATCAACTTTAGGGTCATCTTGACTCTAAGTACTATGCATTTCTTCTGGAGTGACGTCTGAAGGAGAAGAGTAGCTCAGAACAATGGGACGGTTCTTCAAATGCAAGGCCCGGCCGCCAAACGGCAATGAGGAATCTGGTCTTTACAAACAGCGCTGACAATACTCATGACCCATGGACTCGCTGAGTGTCCATAACCAGGATCTTGGCCTAAATTTTAAAGCCACTATCTTAAAGTGGGAGGTTCTATATCATACTACCAATAACTAAGCCATATAGAGATGCAGCCCCATCTCTCAAAAAGACAAAATAGACAATTTGCTTTCTTCACTATTGCTAAGCAGCATTTGGAAGGGAATGGAAATAGTTTTGTATAACACCCAAATATTTTACTTTGTCAGGGAGAAAAAATGACTGGCGTAAGTTCTCTTTGTAGAACTGCTGAATTGGTTTTCCGTGCTGCCACAGATTAAAAACATGGGAAATATCAACAGCATTTTGTGTTAATTTTTTTTTCCTTCTCAGCTCGCCAATAAGCAGCATGCATCTTTCTTGCAACAAGCTGTTACAGGGTTTCCACCTCCAGAGAAGCCAAAAAGAACATTCGACAGTTATTTTAAAATAAGATTATTAGGTAAGGTGATTATGCAGACTTTGAAATAAAAAATGTGTCAGTATGCGAAATGCCATTTTAGAGGGTCTACGGCTAATGTTATGAACGGACACTGGCTAAGAGCCATTTACGCAGAGAAATAAACTCATGCTTTTTACCTGGAGTTTTATTAGGGCCAAATGAAAAAGTAGAACGTTTATTTACTTAAGATGGGCTTGGGCCCTAAGAGAGCTAAAACTCCAGGGAAAACGGGTGAAATGAAAGAGACGCTGGCTTGCATCCTCTGTCGTCCATCTGAGAGGCACTAATCTTGACAAATGAGACCAAGAGCTATCATTTCCTCTCACTGGAATCCTTCCTGTTCACTCTGGCCTATGACTAACTCCTAACTGAGATTCATTTTTCTCTTTCCCATTATAGCATCCTTCCAGATTCTGCTTGTTTGAATGTCAAATTAAGCAAGAAAATTAGTTTTTTGACCAGAATATCTTCTTGTTTGTATCTGCAGCTATATAGGCTTGCAGAGAAATCTACTTGCTGACGGGGTAGGACTGGGTGAGCGCGTACACAGAAGAGCTCTAAATATACCCCGGTGCTGCCAGAGTTCTTTTCCATATTTAATCGAATACGGGGCGCCCTTTCTAGAACTCATGCTTTTTGTGTCTGAGATTTTTCTGAGGTGCACAGATTCATCATGCTGGTTGGTATGCTGGAGACATCTCTCACCATCTAGGGATGGCCAGGGTAAAGCGGCGGAGAGCCAGGCTCCACTATGAAGGAGCTGGAGCTTTGTGGCGTAGGAGGATGAGCTCTGGCCAACCCACTTTTTAGGGCTCGACACACCTGTGATCCTTTTCAAAGGACAGAGACTGAAGTTGTTCGCTGGGTAAGAGCTCACATTAGCAGAGGGGTGCGGGGTACCACATGCTGTGCGCTGTTGTGGGGCTCCTGGAGGCAGCTACCCCAGCGGGAGGCACCTGTGCAGAGGTGATCACTGGGGTAGTGGGGAGCGCGGCGGGCTGGAGAGGGAGGAGGTGAGGGGAGGTAGCAGTAGAAAAAGACGGGAGCTGGGAAGGCGGCTCCTGGAAGGCGAGTGAGATTCCTTCCGACCCAGGCCTCCTGGCTTCACAGTCTGAGCTCTGAAGCTGCCTTGACCCATCCCTCACACCCAGCCAGCCAGCGGGCAGTGTGCTGAGAGGCCAGGCGGCTGGTGAGCAGCCCCAAACAGCAAAGCATGAAATGTCAAAATAAAGGGGGTTCTACTTTCTTACTTGATGCAACTCTATTTTGTTTGTTTCTATGATAGCTAGGATGAGGTGGCCTTTAATTAGTCTCACCTAGTACCAGGCAAGAAGAACAACAGCCATGATATAAACAGCTACTCATTATGTGCTAGCATGAAGACCTAATTTTGTATTTTTGATCCTAATCTCTTATGATCGGTGGCCTTCTACTGCCAGATCAAAGTGACTTAACTCTACTTACAGTGGACTTGGTACAAATACCAAACGCCTAATGCCAAAAAAAGAATGGGGAAAAGTCTATTCAGGAATTTTCAGTTACTGCCCTTAGATCTTCATTAATAAAACAGATGAACTTAGTTTTATAAACAAGAGTGCCAGCCAGGCTGTGAACAGTTAACACCTACCCTGATGGCGTGCTCCCTCTCCTCAATATTTAAACACTGTCGCTGCTTACAGCACACGGAGGAAAAGCTGACAGAAGCCTTTGGCCAATAAAATGAAAAATTTTAAAGTTTGGCTTATTTACATTTTTGCTTTGTTAGTAAACTGCAATGGCTGGCTCTGGAGGCAAGACGAGTGAAATTAACATCCGCAGAATTTTCTGGCAACAGCAGTGCATTCAGATGCTGTGCTGAGTCAGCTTCCACCATGCATTAGGGGTAATCAGGCCCAGCGTAAGACCGAAGGCCTGTTCAATACATCCAAAACCCAGCAGCCTTCCTTACAGCAAAGGGAAAAACGCTAGGATGTAACCCGAGAAGCAGCGTTTAAGTGCAACGTGATGGGATCATTTACTAAAATACCAGCATAACGTCCAATATCACATATTTCAGAATTAACTGTACCTGACATTACATCTGCTTAATTTAAATATACACTATAGGAATACACACTGCCTATTACAGAGATGGAGCTATTTCATTTCTGTCTCTAAATATAAATACATCAGTATGAAGGAGAGAGAGAATAAGAAAAAAACAAGGAAATTTATAATGGTTCTGAAGGGAACATATAGCGTCTGTGTTTCTGTTCTCAAATGCTTGTTTAGATTCAATAAGCAGGTCTGAATTCTTTACCTTCTAACTATAGAGAGCTGCAAAAACAAAAAGAATGTGCAAGCAAAAAGAGAGAATCCATGTGGCTACCTAACATAAAAAAATCTCCGTCCTGCTTCTCCAAAGAGTGCAGGCGGAAGAGCCCTGCTGAGTCAGGGGTGCGGCACGCAGTGTGGTACCAGGGTATCATGGTAGTGGTTCCCATGATACTCACAATGTTTGTGAGGCAGCAAGATAGGAGGGCAAATCTGCAGTGGGTGGAGGAACATTTTAACAGGCAAGAAACACAATCAGCCATTTGGGATGCTTTACTGGGGTTTGTTTATCTACCTCTGTGATACTTCTCATTAGCTGTCAATTACATTTAGCAGGGTAGAGATGGAGAAAAATGATTGTTCTTTTTCAACAAATCCTAGGAGAGCAACATCAGGAAGAGCCCCCTGCAACATTTTGGCTTCACTTCATCCCAGCTATCAGCTACATAACAGCTGCACATTTTACAATGACTTGCTAGAGAGACAGTGATTGAAAGAGCCAGTCTGTGAGACACGAAGAGGAGGTGGTGAGATACAGGAGGAGATAACAGGAGAGAACAGGGGTCAGACACAAGTCAGTGTGGAGAATGAGAGGAAGGAAGCGGGGAGGAAGAAAACAAAAGGTTACATGTATAAAAATAAAGGGAAATTCCTAACAGATACTCAGCAGTTTCAGTATCATGCCCGGGAGAGCACACCATCTCTGCATGACATGCGCAGTTCACTGGCAGACCCAGAACCAAAGGAAGGTGGACTGTGTATGAGCTTGGGATCTAATGTATAGATCCACGCAATTTAAATACGGGAGAAGGAGGAGGGAAATGGGCCTAATTATTCTCTAAAGGAAGGTGTATTTGCATTTAGGTAAAAGTAAATATGAAACAAAAAGCAGAGACCAGCTTTATGATCAACTCAAAATGTGGTTTTATTACCTATGACCAAGTTCACAGAAATACATAACATAATCCATGTCGGATAACTCAATATATTTAATATTTCTCAGAGAATAAGGATATGAATCTTAGGGAAATGATTTAAAAAATTAAACAGGACAGGGTGCCTAGGTGGAAAGAAATGGAAATAGAAGACGATCTTTTTTTTTCCCAACAAAAACCTGTCATGAGTTTTGAATAAATTCCATTAAAACAGCTGCATATAAAATGTTTGACAAACAGTTATCAAAAAAACTGACATGTGAGTGCCCCTAGGCTTAGCTGTGGGAACAGAGAAAAGAGAAATGGGTAATACCGGGACTCAAGCCACGGACTATTCCCCCAAGGTCTAGGACAAGGTGGCTGAGAGTAACTTGGATCCTCTGCATGAATGAGAAAATGGTGCCCCTTCCCACAGAGGGCAGGTCAACCCCATTCAGACCCCGTGCAATGAGCAACCTGTTGAAGTGTGTACGGGCGGGGGCCACTGAGCAAAAAGAGCTGCTCACAGTTAGCTGATTGGCCTCCGTGCAGACAAAAAGAGGGAAAATCATCCAGGAATTCATCCTGCACCCACTGTTAACTTTTCTGTGTAGCAGGCAGGCTGTCTAGCATTAATCAATCTGCCTACGATCTGAGTGAAGCGGGGTGAAGTGTCCAGCTCAAATTTTCATGTGTAGAGACACCAGTAAAAACTCTGTTAATCTCTGGGGTACAGTCATTTCTATCTCTTATTTTCTGGTCTTCACCTTAACCTTCTCAGACCCAACCCCCAAGAAGAGCAACATGGACCTTTTTATTTTTTTTTTCCTAGAAGAAAGAACTGAGTTCAACTTTGTGAAAATGCATTATGCTTCCATGGCTAGCTCTGGCAGTCCTACTAAACTACCTCCGCAAACACAAGTCACCACAGGGGACATACATGTCTTCTGAATTGCGTAAAAACACCACTGGCTTAAGAACCAGAAGACCTGCTGCCTAAATCAGCTGTACAGCTCTGGACAGTAATTGTCGCAGACAGGTCCCCAGGTCTCAGTTTGAATAAGATCCATAATGGAGAATGTAACAATTGCAAGAATCAGCAAGCACTGGGTGTTCACCATGTATCTCATGTGCAGTGACACGTTTCATCTCTGCATTTCCCCTATGAGGTGGGGTTATCATCTATACAGATGCAGAAACTGAGGCACAGAAAGGCTTAGAAGCTTCTTCAAGGTTATGTGGCTAGTATCAGACAATTATGAAAGTCCATTCAGTTCAAATGTTTGTAATTCCACTTGGGAGAAAGGCGAATGCCCAAATTGCTTATCAGATTTTCTAAGAGGCGACTCCATGGAGAATACACTAAGAAATGTTCTACTTGTCATATTTATATAATCTGATCCCACGTAGCTTCACACTTAGCAAAGACAGCTAAGAATTTACTTGAAGAATATGCCACCAAAAAAAGGTGGAGCTTTTGCTGCCTAATTTCTTCCCGGTACTAAATGTCATTGACTAGCTTTACCAAGCATCATATAGATGTTGGCTACAGAGGGGCTGACTTGTAAAAGAACAGTGAAGCAATATGGCGGTTAGCGTTTCTGACACAAGTTTAAAAAACAAACTGTACACTTTAAATGACATATCCAAGAAAGTGGAAAGTTTTCTATGAAAAAAGGAATTAGCAGGCAGAAATGGTAGTAAGGTCCTTGTTCTCTCTGCCTGCACACATCTGCAGTTACTGTGAAGAATGACCATCCTTCATCAATGATAGGCTGGATAAAGAAAATATGGCACATATATACCGTGGAATACTATGCAGCCATAAAAAAGGATGAGTTCATATCCTGTGCAGGGACATGGATGAAGCTGGAAACCATCATTCTCAGCAAACTGACACAAACACAGAAAACCAAACACCTCATGTTCTCACTCCTAAGTGGGTGTTGAACAATGAGAACACATGGACACAGGGAAGGGAACATCACACACCTGGGCCTGTTGGGGGTGGTGGGGAGCTAGGGGAGGGATAGCAGGGAGTGGGAGGGGTAGGGGAGGGATAGCATTAGGAGAAATACTAACGCAGATGACAGGGGGATGGATGCAGCAAACCACCATAGCACATGTGTACCTGTGTAACAAACCTGCATGTTTTGCACATGTATCCCAGAACTTAAAGTATAAAAATTAAACTAAATTAAAAAATAAAAAAAGGATGGGCATCCTTTGTGATGGTGTATAGCCCACTTACCAGCTTTTACCCTGTGCAAACCAACTAAATCACAGACTCTGAGGCCAGTTAAATTTGCTGAGCCACCTTCTCTGTAAAATACTATATAATTTAATATGATACCATACCCACGATCACATGCCCAAATTAGCTCTTCTGTTCAGTTTTATGTTCTTTATCGCATCAAAATCAAAACAATGAAAATACAAGTTTAGAAATCCCCATTTGAAATGACAGACATGTATGACAATCTTCAGATAGTTAACTACTCATCAGGAACTTAAAATTTAAATTGATCATATCTTTATACATCAAGAAAGTTTTCATTTGGGTTTTTACAAAAAGCCCTTCTGACTCAATTTAGAATGAAAGAGTGAGCTCTTTGAATAATGCAGTTTTACATATAACTTTACAACATTTAGGTAGGTGACACCTTACAAACCATCTCAACATCAAAAACTGTCTTAAAAATTCTGGACTATAGAGAATTCACAGCTTTAAAAAGTCGAAAGCAGCAGATAAGTCCAGGTTTTATCATAACCACTATGAGGACAAATATTTTTGAAAGAAAGGTAACATCAAAATGCCTTAATCAAAATGCACTGAGTGTACACCTATGTCAAATTACAGATGAATCTTAGAAACATAACGTTTAGTTTACAAAACCAAATTGTAGCATACACTATGAGTGGGGTGATCACATTATCTGATCTGCCCAAGACCTTCTGGTTTATGCTTCTGTCCTACTGTAACTGTTAATAGCAGCCCTTTGCATGCACAAAAGTGTCTCAACTTGGATGATAAATTATAGTCATTCCAAATATAATACATTTCTATAAAGCTAAAAACTAAATAAAACTAACAAATAAATACTCTATGAATGTTTGTAATAAAATTCTTACAAAAAAACTCCCAAAAACCAAAAAACCAAAAGAACAATTTTTTAAAAAAGGTTCAAAGGATATTTGAAGCAAGGGAGAGGTATAGAGCTTGAGATCAGGAAGGAATAAACAGGTAGATACAACAGCACTGAATGTACAGGTAGATACTACAATTCTTAAACCGGATGGTGAGTTCATGAATATTCATTTGATAGCTATGTTTTATAATTAGTGTGCTATATATGTTCTTTTATTTAGAGACAGGTGTGTGTAACATTCTAAACATTCCACAGTACGCTATTTTTTTTTTTTTTTTATAATGTAAGAGGTAAAATGTTAAAAAGCACTGAAACGAACACCCATGATTTTGGAAGGATACAATAAATGAT